ACCAACTAGTGTCCGCTAACTGACAGTTACAGTGGTTTGCTGTCAGTACTGACGCAAGTTATTCCGATCTTCATCTATTCGCAAGGTCTGGAGAAGGCTGGTCTGTTTTCAGACTGTTTTGACAATGCTTTATGAATTTGAGGACCACGCTCACTTCACTCTTCTCCACCAGATGCTCAGTCGTTGATGGTACACGTTCCACCGGATGTGCTGGTTCTTCTAAAGAACTAAATTTTACTGAAATCGACTTCCCTTCGGTCGTTAGCATCGCTTGAATTTTTCCTCCAACTTCGTTTATCCTTCGAGATATCCTTGTCATAAATTTGGTTTTTATCCACTATGAGGATCCATCCTTAAAGTTCAATTTGTAAACAGAGCCCAAGCAACAATTTTGGTTTTATAATGCTCTTGAAGACCATGGTTTAGGCTTGAAGAGTTCTTTAAAACCTCGATAAAACTTACAATGTTACTTGGGAGTAGATTTTATGATACACTTTTAAAAGCATTAAAGGCAACAATATATGCATTTTACTCTCATTTAAAACCGAATAGGTTTATAGAGTATTTTATCAAAAAATTAGTATATAACTTCTAATGAAGTTTATGATTGATTTTTAGAACAGTTTAATGGTGGGATTGAGAACTACTTTAAATTTAATTTTAAAACAAGACAGTATTTAAACTAAATGGATTATTCATTGCCATTATAAAACTATCATAAATCAGAGTGCCAAATGATTGCAGAATTGTTACTTGGGATGTTATCTTAGCAGAATTTTCGCAATTTTTTTTTTAAATTCTTGAAATTTCCATGATATAAGACCCTTAAAATACTCTTACATTTTCCGGGTGCACATATAATTTTGATTGTGTTCGAGAAATTCTCTCGGAGTTTTGCTGGAGTTTCCGGAAATTCCCAGAGTTTCTCGAAACTTCTTTAAGGTTTCTGCAATTTCCTTTAAATTATTTGAACTGCCCTTTGATTTTCTGATCTGTCTTGATTTTATAGGAAGCTTCCCTGAGCTCTCAATGACCCGTACCTTTAATTTATACCAGGACCTATCTAAGATATATCAAACAGGTTATATTGAATGCTCAGGGTGGATGCTGGGTTATTAGACCAGGACGAAGGTCGGTAGGGACGAATGGTCATTAGGCCGAATTCCGGAAAATTATTTCTTAACTTTTGCGACGAAAATTTGCTGGTTTGAATCTTCATGGAATTTTATTTTTCTTAGAAAAACCTGGAATTCTCTAGAAATTACATAATTTTTTAGGGAATTTTCAAATTATCTTACAGAGGATTTTTTTACACATAATACATTTTATAAAGCAAACATTTTCTATCAGTCATTGATCTTTCAGTAACAAACAAAATTTTAAAAATTCAGAGGCTTGAATTGCTTTTTTTTTCAAGATCTTCAACAAGGAGATTTTTTACAAATTTTAACTTTGATCAATTTTTATGAAATTCCAGTCTAAAAAATAATTATGCTTGGAGAAATTTTCAAGTAGAACCTATATCCTAAGTATTTAACAAGATAACAGATTTGAAAAACATCAAAAGTAAGGACCTTGCATAATTAAATTGGAAGATAATTTCCAAGGAACCAAGGAAAATTCTGGGAAGAGCTGTGAGAAAAACATCAACTGAAGTCGGCTTTCAAGGTAGTCCTGAGGAACTCCAGATTCAATGTGAAACCTGTATACCAAGGAAGTTCTGAGTAGAATTCTAAGCAAACCCTGAATAAGATTCTAAAGAAATTTTAATGACAATTCATACGAATTTCCGAAGTTAATTCCTAAACGAGAACTCCAAGGAAATTCGAAGAAGAATTTTAAAGGAAGTTTCAGGAAGAAAAAGAATCCGAAGCATAATTTCATGAGAATTTTTGAAGAATACTTCGGGAGTATGCTAAAAGGAGAATTACAATTATATCAGATAATTATTCCAGGAAAACATCAAAAAACCTCGGAAAAGAATTCCAGGAAAGTTCTGACTTGAATGCCAAATAATTACTAATGAGAAATCTATGGAATTTGTTACTTCACTGCAAGCGAATTCTTATGATACTTTGAAAGTGAGTAGAATTCCAAAGGAAGGATTGAAAATCTGAAATGGAATGAATTCATTGGAAATTCTGAGAATAATTCCAAAGGCATGAGCAATGAACATTTCAAGGTAATTCCGAAAAAAATCTACTGGAATTGAATTCCGAGGATGATTCCAACGAAATTTCAAGGGACATTTCAAGGGAATTGTTATCATGTGTTATCTAGTGACCAACATGGCTTGAGAACATTACGAAGTGGTACCCTACTCCAACCGCGGTACCATCGAACGGCGTTCGGTTACAACGAACCACTAACAACTATGATGCGTACATTTACGGCTGTCGAAGAATTATTCGAATTTGGGGAATCTTCATCTCGCTTTTTGGCACGGATTAGAAACACTTGAATTGTTTTAGCTTTAAGGTTGTTTCATGTAGACAATAGTCCGATGAATAAAATTAAATAATAATAATAATAATAATGTTCCGGTGATAATTTTTAGAGAATTTAGTTTAGGAGAGTTCCAAGGGCATTGTGAGGAGTATTTAAAGAACTTATGGGAGTCCAGAGCAAAACTTGAAGAAGTTCCTCCGGAGAAATCTTCTGTGAATTCCTAGGTAATACTGTATACATGATTAATAATTTGAAGAGCACTGTAGATTTAATTCAAAGAGTTGTTCTGCAGATAATTTTCAGGAGAATTATATAGCAAATTAAAATAAAACACCAGAAAGAGGTCTACGATCAGCTCTGATGGTATTCTGAGATGATTCAAGTAAATTCTTCAGAAAATACTGAAGAAATCCTGTAAACATTTCCAAGGTAATCATGATGGTTCCAATATAGAATATTTTTTTTTTTAGATATTGGACAAAAAGAAAGAATCAAGATCCAGGATTTCTAAAAATTGAATAAATTCATAAATTTTGAGATTTCATGTTTAGAAAATTTTATGATCCTGGATTAAGAAAAATCTGCATGGTTCAGGTAATTTATTTTTCTTTAACGTCCAAATAGTCAGAACAAATATCGAAGTGTTTACAATCGTAAAAACATCACTACTGTGTAAGTTTTTTTTTTTTAATTCTTTATTAAAGAGATTTTTAGCCTTAGGCTAGTTCATCTCTATACTACTGTGTAAGGAAGCACTACAATAGATCAAGCAAGTGGTCCCAGTAGTTACTAGCCCAACAAAAAAAGGAAGCACGGCAAAATTTATTTAAGTCTGGGTTAACGACCATTCGGCTTAATGGCCTCAGGGCGATAGTGCCACATCCAGAAATTAGTGGAACCATTGATATAGCATAGCATAGCATAGGACAAGCTGCACAAATTCGTAGGTGGTACGAGCTCCAAACTACTGTTAAGAAGAAGACCTACCTCCATCCGGTACTGTTAGGTAGTAATTTGGGAGTAATCACTACCTCTTAGACAAAGGATGTTTCTCCTTCCAGCAGTCCAGAGCTGTCCTGGCCACGTCCTTGCAACTGGTAAGGATGGGGAAGGAATATTAGCCCGACAATTACTTAAGAGAGATGCAGAGAACTCTACGACCCCTCATAAATATCACAGGAATTTAGGATTTTTTTAGTTGGAAGCTAGGCCATAGGTTAAGGCCTTGTTGTCCTCTGCTGTCCGAAGAAGTCGTCTCCACTCTACTTGATCCATGGCCACACTTCGCCAGCCTCGTAGTCTGCGAAGGGTCCGCAGGTCGCCTTCTACTTGTTCGATCCACCTTGCCCGCTACGCGCCTCTTCTTCATGTTCCTGTTGGGTCGCTTTCTAGAACCATTTTCACTGGGTCGTCGTGCGGCATTCTTACGACGTGCCCAGCCCACCGATGTGGACGATGGATGGTTCTCTCAGCAGCTGGTGCAATTCGTGGTTCATTCGCCTCCTCCACGTTCCGTCATCCATCTGCACTCCACCGTAGATGGCACGCAACAACTTCCGTTCGAAAACACCAAGGGCGCGTTGGTCTTCCACGAGGATAGTCCAGGTCTCGTGGCCGTAGAGGACCACCGGTCTAATCAGCGTCTTGTAGACAGTCAACTTCGTGCGGCGGCGAATTTTATTCGACCGGAGCGTCCTCCGGAGTCCAAAAAAGGCACGATTCCCTGCCATAATGCGTCTTTGAATTTCTCTGCTGGTATCATTTTCGGCGGTCACCAGTGAGCCCAAATACACGAACTCATCGACCACCTCGATTTCATCACCGTCAATCTGAACTCGGGGTGGGAGGCTAACATTGTCTTCCCTAGAACCTCTTCTTTTCATGTATTTTGTCTTTGATGCGTTGATGGCAAGTCCAATCCGCCTAGCTTCAGCCTTCAGTCTGATGTTCGTTTCCGCCATCGTCTCAAAGTTCCGTGCCATGATGTCGATGTCATCGGCGAAGCCAAGAAGCTGGATGAACTTCCTGAAGATCGTGCCACTCGTGTCTATCCCAGCTCTTCTGAGCTGCTGGCAATCATTATGTTTTTAAATAAGTCAGTAATAAAGCTAGATACTAGAGTTCATCTTTTGATACTGCCCGCTACCTAAATAAGAATTGTGTTGGGATTATTAGCGGAACCATTGACAAATTCAATATCAAGAGCTGGCAGCCCTATTACTTGTTAATAAATAGATTTAAATTAACTTATCAGAACTCTCATAAATGGATCCTTGATCGATTTTTCCACTTCATATGAGTAAATAAGGCTAGATGTTCCAGTAAATGAAGTATTTCTGCATTATTCTTAAAAATTTAGTTGATCAAAAAAATATTTCTTTTATTCTATAACTCAATGGTCCCTTCAATATCGAGTTATGGAGGGTTGACTGTATTTGGGTTTTTATTGTTTTAAATTTTTACTTTAAATAAATAAAGCATATTTTGTTTATTTTTTCCCAGAAAGACATTAATTTTTTACAAGTTTGTCTCAGACGTCATTCCGATCATAAATACCGTTTCCATGCTTACAAAATCCAAAATGGCCAAATTTTAGCAAAAATGTGCATAACATTAAGTTGCATACAAATCAGAGAAGGTCGATTCAAATTTAATATTTATTCGCTGTATCAAAAATAGTCTACGTTGTTTATGGACAGCACCCTAAAGAAACATTTATAAACTTTTGAATAAAAAAATCATTGGAAGTTATTTCCGGGACTGACTAAACATAGATAAAATGTTGTGTTAATCTTTAACTGACTGACGAATGGATTCCGTCGCAGAGCTCTGATTCGGGTTCGCTTTGCTACCATCGAGAAAAAAAAGGATAACATTGAATGACCATTACTGGGAAGTCGCGAATCGATGTACGTCGGTAACAGCACTTGCCGACCATCGTGACACCAATAAAATTCAAATTTCGCACAACGTTGGCATGCTAATTTGGACAAGGAATGCATCGGAATCCTCGCGCGAATCTTTCTCATTGAAAACGGTCATTGGTATATAGAATACGGTGGAAAACGATGAGCGACTGGTCCGGTACCGGTAAATCAAGTTAGAATTAGCATTTGTTGAACTTGAATATTTCGCCTATATTCAAATGACCTAACCCAATCCCAACTTGGGACCGCACGCGCTCAGAGTGGCGGCTCAGCAGCGAGGATGATTAATATTTAATGAACATTGCAGCCTTTTTCTGTTACAAGGTTGCACTGCCCGGAGAGGATCGTAAAATGAAACTCATTCCTGTTACTGCTGCTGCTGATGCTGCTGCTGCTGCTTTTACTGCAATTGCGAATCACATGATTTAATGATCTCACCGAAAAAGTCCCCCGCCCTCTCATCGAGTCCAAACCGAGCCATAACGTAAGCGATGAGATTTCCAAACGACTTTGTACTACATTGTTATCAACGTTCTTTGGGCGGAATTCCACCTTTAATGAGTCAATTCGTAAACTTGAAACCTCTTCAGGATGTCGTCAACATCATCAGCCAAAGTCAACGAAGGTGGTGGATGATGCAAGCGATCGTGTGACTTAATTTCCTTCCAAATATTGACACCTCCACGGTTCCGTCCAAGGGAGTGTTCCGGACCTTTATCAGCCGTTCGATATTTGCACGGCGCTCGGTGTTCACCAATTTTGAATCATATCTTCCCCGCTACAACGCACTTTTCAACTTTTTGGCTCAGCTAAGTACACTTATACCAAACCAAACCCGGTGGGTACTTATTGTGATAACGATTGAATTTGACGGAAAATCCCCACCCACACTCTTTTCGGTACGCTATCTACATCCGGCGGTTTGTCAATTTTCGCGCAATAGTGGAAATATCGGAACTGCACTTCACGAAGCGGCTCTCCGGACAGACATTAGTTTTCGATCGCGCGCGAAACTATTCGGACGGTACAGGAACCCGGGATTGATGAAGTGGTGTAGTGACATTGTGGAAACTATTTCGGAAATTCGGTAATTTTTTTTTTCTTCAAGTGACTTCGACGATCGTAGGCGACGAACTCGACAAGAGCTTGTTTACTGAATATCATGTAAGAAATCGCTACAGTGCCTTAGGTTATTAATAATATGTGGTGACATCGTGAACAAGTTAATGGGATAAATATTTTAGGTAATATTATATTGATTTAAAATCTCTCAGTGTTCTGATTTTTAATATAATGATTAAATTGACAGTTTCAAGATAAAACTTATCTTAGTGCATCATCACTCTAGCAGTTGGATTCTAATATAATCCTCCTCGCGGATTCCATCTTATGAACGCACCACTACTCAGCCCAGAGAACTTAACGAGCATATTGTGTGATTACCATTTTCAGCTTTCCAACTGAAATCGCTAATCAGTTTCATTAAAATTGTTTAGCTCCGCGGGAGAGCGGAAGTTTACAGCCAGTATAGAAGAATCTGCTAAGCTCTGTAAGCCTCAGCGAGAACTCGCTTTGCTATAGATGAAAGAGATTGCATAGGCTGACCGCCACCATCACCACCACCGACCGGGAGAATAATTATTAAAACTAACCTTTCATAAAACATCTATTAATATAATCGGTAAATTGCATGATATTTAAATTAATTAACACCCAGGGTGCCCGCCCTTCTCCCGCCCGAGCATCGTAAGAATAGGTCGGGTTCGGTAGAGATCGATGCGCTGAGATTCCGCGCTGCTGCTCAAACTGCTTCTGCTTTCTGCGGGCTAATCTGCAAAACGAGCGAACAAGTGTTCAGCGTTGGAAGCCCTCACGATCCGATGGAAGACAACGAATTGAAAGTGTAGGGTAGAGGGCAGTCTGAATTGAAGTGTGACTGTAATTACCATATTTGTACGATCAGATGATAGAGGGGTGAGAGAAACGGATAAATTATCTCTTGTACTCAAATTTAGCTCCGATACAAATGATATTTTCAAGAAGAATCCGTCCCATTTCCGGTGTTGCTTCCGATATGGTAAACTCAAATAACGTTTGATGAATTTAATTACTGGCCTATTAGCGGGGTTCTGCTGGACGTTGTAACCTTCGTTGCTGATTTTACAGGTACAACAACTTACCCTTAACATTTTTTCGAGAAGCCTTCACTGCCATCTATGGTTAAAAAACAGTCAATGCGTAATCGCAGACACGTGTAAATTGAGCCTATTTGGATAGCCAAAGAAGGGTGTGTTTTCGAGGGCAAGCTTAAATTGGTATGCTTAGCCGATGATCGGCAGTTAATGTTAACTAAATGGAAAATTACCGGTGAACTTGAAACATGTTTCGAAGTGAGCAAACAAACAAACTGAGCCTGTTCAGTTTTTTTGGTCACATTTTTCGGCAAATAAAAAAAAAATAATAACGTGATAATTGACAAAACTTATATCAAAAATTGATTTTCTGATACATTAGGCCGGAACAAATATCAAGTTTTTCTTTTGTCACACCCACCTTCCCCCCTCTTCAAAATTTTAGAATATCACCAAGGGGGAAATAAAATAAAACTTTCAGTGAATATTTATTTTTCGCAAATTCATTTGGGTATGGATACTCGCTTTGCTATATTTTATTATGTTGTTGTTGTTGTTGTTGTATCACCTTGTTCTTTTAAAGAATTTTCACATAAATTGGTACTTGACCCGTACGGCATGACAGGTCCTTGAAATCGGATCAGCCGGTTTCAGTTGTTGAAAACGGATTTTATCGAACATCATTCCTAATCTTGTTTGGCAACTCACTAGGTAAGCCACCTTCAATCTGATCGATCCCTCGTGTTCGTTGCACACATCTTCGTCTTGTCTCAGTCGGATTACTACAAAGAACCATTTTCAGTGGGTCGTTATCCGACATTATTACGATGTGCCCAGCCCACCGTAGTCGCCAGATTTTTACATTCGATCTACACTTCTTAACTTACAAACCTTCTGCAATGATACTTAATGATTCACTTATTTTCTACAGTGATTCAACAATTTCCGAGCTAAATCCAATCTTTGCAAAATTGGTTTAAAAATTTTAGAAGTGAGACCAAATCAGAAACGATTCAGGAAATTCCTAACTGAGGTGACACTTTTCAAAGCAGATTCAAAACTGAGTCTGAACTTTTTTGAAGTGAGTTCAAACTTTCGAATAAGTCATCAATATTTTTCAAACTGAGTCTCAACATTTCTGTTATGTTATTCAATCCTATCCTATGTCAAAACTTTCCTGAAGTGATTCAACATATTCCAAATCCAATCTTTAAAGAATTGGTTTCGCATTTTCTGAAGTGAGGCAACATTAGCTGATTAATCCTTTTCCTAAATGAATCCAAGGTTTCCTGCATTGATTCAACTTTTTTCCGAACTGAAACCAAACTAGTCAGAACGGGTTTGATATTTTCCTAAGTGAGCTCCAGATTTTTGTTAACTGCTTTGGCATTTGGCAAGGACACAATCTTGCTTATTGAAAGTGTAGGAAGTTTTCCTAAGTGAACCGACAATTTTTTGAGCTTAAATTTTTCAAATGGTGTCCAACCTTTTCTGAAGTGGTTCAAAACCTTCCTCAGGAAGTTCAAACTTTTCTGTTGAGTGATTGAATTATATTGAAAATTAGTCTGAGCTTTCCTGAAGTGATTTACCTTACTTTTAACGTAGATTCCGCTCCCTTAGATCCCTTCCTCGTTCTTGTGAGATTCAAATCCTTTGAAAATTAGGCTGCGATTTTAAAGAATGGACTTTCGTGTGTTCATACCTGATGGTAGATTTTTTTTAAAGCAAGCACAATTGTTGATAAAACTGGGTTTACATCCACAAAAGTAGTAATTTGGATTTCTTGATCAGCCAAGTTGGATTTTGGCTCCGTCCTTTGAAAAACAGGCTTGGATGTTATGGAATAGACCTTTGTGAGTTCATACGTGATGGTAGATTTTTTTGAAGCCAGGTTGGATTCCGGTTCAATCTTTTTGTGCTTGGATTTTTTAGAATGGAACTTGCTGAATACCGCAAGGACGAACCTGGTTAATATTCACAAAAGAAGGTATTTTCATAGAAAATTAATTTGTCTGTTTTTCCGAACTGAATTTTGGCTTCTATTTTTGAAAAATAGGCTTGTATTTTAATAGAAGTTGCTGAATCCATACGTGAGGGTGAATTTCTTTAATTTTTGAGAATACCGAGTTTAAATTCACAAAAGAACGTATTTTCATAAAAACTTTGATTTTCTGTTCTGCCAAGTTAAATTTCGGCTCCGATCTTTGAAAATAGACTTGAATTTTATAGAATGGACTTTCCTGAATCCATACGTGATGGTAAATTTTTTGAAGCATGTTCAATTTTTTAGAAAACTGGGTTTAAATTCTCAAAAGTACGTATTTTTTTATAGAAATTTGGGTTTCTTTTTCAGCCAAGTTGAATTTCGGCTCTTTCCTTTGAAAAATAGGAGTGGATTTTACCGAATTGCTGAATCCATCCGTATTTTCATAGAAACTTGGTTTTTCGGTTCTACCAAATTGCATTTTGCCTCATATCTTTGAAAAATAGGCTTGTATTTTTTAGAATGGATCTTGCTGAATCCATACGTGAAGGTTGAACCGGGTTTGTAATTCGAAAAGGTTTTTTTTTGTTTTCCTTTTCTGCTAAGTTGGATTTTGATACTGTCCTTTGAAAGTTATGCTTAGATTTTATAGAATTGACCTTGCTGAATTCATATGTGATGATTATTTTTTTAAGCACACCCAAAGCCAGGTGTAAATTGACAAAACTTCGTATTTTCGTTAAAATTTGGTTTTTATGTTCAGCCAAGATGGATTTTAGCTCCTTTCTTTAAACATTACGGTTGGATTTTGTTGAATAGACCTTCCTGAATCCATACGTCTAGTAAGATTTGTTGAAGCACGAACAATTGTTGAGAAAACTGAGTTATATTTGGATAGGGAGGAAGTATCGAAAACAGAACGTTTTTTTTTCATAAGAACTGTTACGTTTGTGGTATTCCGCTTGATGGTATTGATGGAATTTATCAATACTTAAAAATCAATTGCTTTGATCCTATTCATCTACATTATTACCAATGTTCTTCCTTGAAAGGATACAAAAACTTATGCGCGAAATGCCTTGTTGATAACTCGAGTGTTACACATAATAAAGTCAACATTTGTGGCATTAGTGTCAAAAATCACGGCTTCAAAGAAGTATAAGGCTAAAGCGGAGGCTAAGAAAAAAATTTAGTGTTTGAAATATAGCTTGGTTTAGATATAATGTAAAACGAATTTTAAATGTTTTATTTTTTTTTTGGTTTATTTTTTATCCCCCCCCCCCCTCGACTGGTGCGAGCATCGAGTGACAAAAGAAAAACTTGTGATTTGTTCCGGCCTTATTAAACAAAAAAGAAACTACCTCAATCTAGCTCGGTAAAATCTCCAACAGCCGATTACCACGACAACTGTACTACTGGGCTAAATATCATAGGGGAAATGACTCTAATGTTGGCCTATTGATCTAAAGATTGGGCCCATCGACACAAATTTCTCCTGTTCTTCAATTGTTCTAAGAGCAATACGCCATCTCGGCCAGTGCACAGTGGTCCAGAAACCGTATTTAGGTGGAATATATTGTTTGCGCCAAAATCATTAGTTTTAGGTATAAAGTAGCGTTTTTCAATTGATGAGTCACGACGCACTTGTGGATCGCGGGCAGCCCCCAGGTGTAGGGTTCAAAATTTGACCGAAAGTTCTTGTTCTACAGCGTTTGTCAATTTTAAATATTCAAAAAATTTGCATTTTTCGTGAGCTTTCTCAAAACATTCTGTGTATAATTTTTGCAGAAAGACTTTATTTCGATCAGAATTTTTAATTTTGTGCTACAATTTATTAAAAAATTGCAAAGACGCCATTTTGAAAAAAAATGCAGGATCCAAAATGGTCGAATTTATGCAACAATGTGAATGATTGCTCATAAGATCTTGAAGGGTAAATTCTGAGAAAGTCAGGACAGTTCCATGAATTAAAAAAAAAAATCCCGAGCTTGATGAAGATCAGAGAACTTCATAACAGTTACATCAAATTTAAAAATTTTACTAGAACTAGTTATAAGATATCTTCTAGTAAGTTTAAAGATCTATAAAAAACGGCTAGAGAGCTTCGGAAAAGTTTTGAGAAATTCAG